TGAAAGAAGCCAGACTCAAAAAGCCTACATATTTGTGTGATTCCATTTGTATGTTATTCTGGAGAAGGCAAAAACTATAGGGACAGAAAAGAGACCAGAGGTCGCCAGGGTCTAGAGTGGGAGAAACTGATGGTAAGGGTCACACAGGGATTTTTCTGCAGGTGATACTGGCCTATACCTTGATTGTGGCAATTATATGAGTATTTATCAATCAAAACTCATAAAACTGTACACTTTAAAGAGTGAATGTTACAGTGTCTAAGTTATGCTTCAATAAACTAGACAAAAATATTTTTTACAAAGGCCATCACAGCTAATAATGGCCCTGGGACTACAGTCCTGTTTCTTATTCAAAATGCCAGTCTTATTAGACATCAGTGGTTTTCAAAGTGTACTGTCTAGACCAGCGACATCAGTGCTACCTGAGGACTTAGAAACATGCAAATTCTTGGGCCTTATCCCAAACCTACTGTATCAAAAACTCTAAGGGTGGGGCCCAACCATCCACGTTCTAACAAACCCTCCAGGTGATTCTGATGGCCCCTAAAGTTTGTGAGCCATTGCTCTTCACAATGAGGTCAGGCCAGTGAGACGAGACTCTGAAAGCAGGGCCTGGCATCAGTATTTTTACAAAGTGACCACAGGTGACATTAGTTAGCAGCCAGTTGGAACATCTGGGCCAGGTATTTCCATCATCATAATCACCCGGGAACTGCTGCTGCCTCTGGCTAGGTGTGAATCCCTTAGGTTGGGATTCTCAAGTGGGCGCCTCCACCTGGCCTTTCTCCCTCTCTGGACTCACTGACTTCACAGCTGGCACAAAATTTAAAAGCAGCCCCTGACTTACAAAACAGTACACCCTAGTTTTGAAGTGGGAGACTTCCAGTCTCAGTCCAGACTTTGTCCATTTTCTCCAAAAAGCTCCTTTTCTGTGTATTAAGGCTGAACCATATGAAACTGCCAATTGTCAAGTGTTTCTGGATCTAAGGAAACAGCAGTCTAACGCGGTCTGCATTAGTTCATTGAGGAGAACCTTGTTTCTCTTTTGCATTTATGTATCTACTTCGAGTGTTTACCATTGGTATATGCTGGAAATACTAGTTGAAAAAAAAAAAAGAAAGACTTTACATCTCTCTAAATCAGGGCTGCCAGGAAGCAAACAGAGGGTGTGGTGATTATTGGTGAGGAAGGTGGCTGAAAGCAAAGTCAAGTAATAGTTTCCATTGAACGCAAATTTCAGAGAACTAAAATGTTGTGGAAACAAACTGTTGATATTCAGGGTAGAAAATAAAACACCAAACTAAGATTATTTTTATGAGGATAGGCACTAAAAGCTAAGTAAGTGAATAGGAAATAAGACAAAATTAAAACTAACTAAAAAAATTACAAGGCCAAGTCCCCCAAATTAAAGCAATCAAATTTACAATCATGACTTAGTTACCTAAAACGTGGGTATTTTAATATAGGTAACAAAGTATCTTTGAAAATAGAAATTAAATTTTATTGAGAACTCATGCTTACAGAAAAGTGAAGAGAAACACTCCAAGGAAAGAATTCTTTCGGTTTTGACAATTAAAGGATTATTTATCTTCTCAGTATCGTTTTTCCATATACCGTTTTTGATGTGTTGGATTGGTGCCCTGCTTGTGAATCTATCCTGTTATCCTGACTATGTCATTGAAAACAGCTTATCTTGGTTCCATTTCTAGTATTGACAAGTCTAAGGAATAACCCTGGCTATCTTCCTAAATTTCTCTATGTGCTATTCTTACCTACAAGTTAGAACTAAGTAATAATAAATGATGTATCGTAAACACACACGTTGCAAGTCTGCTCATGTTACTTCATAATATTGGCTAGTTCAGTGTAGAATTTTGAATGTAAAGGGCCTGGAGATAGATTCTGTAGCCAAACACTCGTATTTTATAAGGGAAGAAATTAAAGTCTCCAAGAAGTCAAGCAAGTTGCCCCTAGACCTACTGTTGAGAGCGACAGAATTGGAAATAGAATTCTGATTTCCAGACTACTAGCATGATTGTCTTTCCACTAAAATACAACAGGTTCTGACATTGGAAACAAACAACAACAAGAAAAAAAGAAAGACAAATGAATCACGAAGGAAATACTATGTCTTGGGGAATACTGTAGGCAATGGCTTCTCAGTCAAAAATCAAATTACAAAAGGAGTACTAATGTTTCACAGAACACTGTGAACAAGAGTGGACACTGAGTCTATTGTAACTGATGAAGTGGCATCCTCTTGATTATACTTCTTAGTGACACTGCATAGTGTCAGAAAATCTCACAGGGCTATAACCAGACATCTTGATGATGACATTTAGGGGTTTAGATGCTCAAACTGTTTGCTGAACGAATGAGTTCTTCCAACGACTGAACCCCACACTCCAGCACCATAAGAGAGTACGGATTTCCGCAGTTTCCCTAGAGACAGGAAATTTACTCCTGTGCTGTAAGCCCCAAATTAAATAACCATTAGTTCCTTCTAAAATCCTCAAAAACTACGAAGGCAAACCACAGAAACACCAAATTATAGATAACATACTGGAAGTTCTATAATACAAATATGATTGGTAGGGAACTTCATCTACAATTTCCTCTAAAGGATATGATGATCACACAGATTAAACAGGACTAAAGAGAATACACGCTTCAAACTGACAGTAGCCTACTGGAGTAAGCCTGCAGAGACACTAAGTGATCAATTAGTCTGAAACTCTTACAATTACCCCGCATTTCAAAGCTCTTATAGGTCAGTCAGGAACTGCAAGAGTATTCAAAACAGAAGATGAACCAGCTGTGACACACAACAGGAAACAGGCCAGTCTTTCCAGAGGATGTTGAAACAAGTTCATTTAAAGCACAGTTGAATTTTTCAAATCAATTTAAGCTTCTTCCTCAAATCTACAGTCTTTTTTTTTTTTGACATCAAAAGAATCAGATTTTAGTGACTTAAAAGAAAGCTCTCTCTCTAGGTTTTTCACACTTGAAAATTTTAACAGTCAAACAAAGAAATACCTAGGAACATGAAAGCTCAACCTCCCTGGTAACAACCACCTTGAAACTTGATCGGGATTCAAAGCCTGAAATGTTACCATCAGCTTAATTATAGTTGATTTAAACAATTCCTTTCTTTTTGAGTTAACAGTCCAGATTAACTGGGATTTTATCATCAACTATTTAAGCCCTGTAAGATATTCTTGAAAATTAAACAAGATTTATTAAAACTTCTTACTTCTTTTGGATTGACTTTATTTCCATAATATTTCATTCATTAAAAATGGCTTGTTTTTATCTGTCTCACCAACCCGTAAATAAGTATGTCACTTTGTATCTACATTTCAAGTCTAATGAATGTCAAAACAAATTTGCAATCCTTGGCTTCTCATCTGTGCACACCTTCTTTGCTTCTTTTTTTTTTTTTTTATTGAAGCATCGTTGATGTCCAATAATATAAAAGTTACAGGTGTACAATATAGTGAGTCACAATTTTTAAAGTTTATGCTTCATTTATAGGTATAAAATATTGGCTATATTCCCTGTGTTATACAATATATCCTTGTACCTTTTTTATATACATATTATATATATATATTTTACATATATATATTTTATATACAATAGTTTGTACCTCTTAATCCCCTACCCCTTAATTATCCCTCCCCCCTTCTCTCTCTCCACTGGAAACCACTAGTTTGTTCTATCTGTGAGTCTGTTTCTTTTTTATTATATTCATTAGTTCATTTCATTTTTTAGATTCCACATATAAAGTGGTATCAAATAGTATTTGTCTTTCTCTGACTTAATTTACTCAGCATAATACCCTCCAGGTCCATGTATGTTGCTGCAAATGGTAAGTTTTCATTCTTTTTTATGACCGAGTAGTATTTCATTGTATTTCTATACCACATCTTCTTTATCCATTCAGCTCTTTATGGACACTTAGGTTGCTTCCATATCTTGGCTGTTGTAAATATGCTGCTATGAACATTGGGGTGCACATATCTTTTTAAATTAGTGTTTAAATTTTTTTCAGATATATACCCACGAATGGAATTCCTGCGTCATACTTTTAGTTTTTTGAGAAACCTCCATACTGTTTTCCACAGTGGCTACACCAATTTACATTCCCACCAGCAGTGTACAAAGGTTCCATTTTCTCCACATCCTTGCCAACATTTGTTATTTGCGTTCTTTTTGATGATAGCTATTCTGACCAGTATTAGGTGATATCTCATTGTGGTTTTGATTTTCATTTCCCTGATCTGCATATCCCTGATGATTAGTGATGCTGAGTGTCTTTTCATGTGCCTGTTGGCTCTCTGCATGTCCTCTCTGGAGAAATGTCTATTCAGATTTTCTGACCATTTTTCAATTGGGCTGGTTTGTTTTTTTGATGTTGAGTTATATCAGCTGTTTATATATTTTGGATGTTAACCCCTATTGGTCATATCATTTCTGTGTACACTTTCTAAGTAGCACAGAACTGAAACAATATTTATCTATCCATCTCATGTTCAAAAGTACACACTATAAATCCAGAGTCAACAGTTCATTAAAGAAATCATAAAGAGTATGAAAGCATCCATAAAGTTTTGATTTCTGTTACAGTTTTCTTCTAATTTGTCCTTATCTTTACTTCCACAAGGAAAATGTTGCTAAAAGTGACACAAACGCCTCACAGGTTAAGTGACCATATGTTTTATCATCCAAACTGGGCTACTTTTGAGAGTAAAAGAGAGTGCTATAAATAATTAGGCCAGGACCTCAGGTACAAAGCGGGAAACTTTGTATCAGCGAAACCCAAATAGGTGGGCACCCTTACTCCTCAGAATCCAAGTGAGAGCTCAAATTTTCACCTTCTGAGGCTCTGTGAGGGCCTTGGAAAGAAAAGAATCCTAAGGAAAAGAACCTGTTCAGTCAAAGTCCCTGGGTGCCATGTTCTATCTGCTCCTCCCACAATGTCATACACCCTGACTTACCCGACCACCATGTCCTTGGGTCCAGCAGTTACAGTGCAGATGCCATCCTCACAGTGTTTTCCCACCAGGCTGTGTGCATGCAGGTGAATGTTTTTTCCATTTGTGACCAACTGAACAATAACCTTTGCAGGTCCCACATAGTTGCAGATCTACATAAGAAGCACATTTCAAAAGTTAGCACATCTAACTATATTGCAACATGGAAAAAATGCTTAAGACAAGCCAGTAACTATAAAAAGTATGACAGAAAATTAGGTCTACCTGTACATGTAAGACCATAGCTCTATTTTGAAAAATATATGATGAACAAATGATGGGATGGAAATAAACTAAAACGCTGATGGTGGCTATTTTGGATGTGAATGATATCCTCCAGGAAGCAGACCATTTAACATACAGCATGTACTGTTAAAGGTGGAAGGAAGAGCACATCTGGGAGGGTGCCCTGTAGCCATGAAGCATCCCCTTCCTCCTAACCAAGGACACATTTTCATCTGCACCCTGACTGCATTTTTGGTCATAAAAATTGGGTGAAAGATCAGTGAGAATGGAACTGGGATTGACTGATTGTTGGAAATCAAGGGAAGGAAAGAGGTGAGCAGCAACAGGGCATCCTAATTCTCTGACATGAGAATGGGCAGGAGAGAGCATCTTGCCCAGGGCCTTGGCAAGGAAGGTTGGCCCTGGACACTCAAGCCCTCGGACTCAGCCTGCAGTGATCTGTTAGGAGACTTCAGCCACTGGTGGCCCTCTCTGTTACGAGCTCTGGTAATTGAGTTACATGCTCAGGTCACTGTAAATTCCTTCAGTTCAAATAAATGTACTCCTTAAGTGCAAGTCCTTAGATCTGGCAACCGTTTAGCCCCTGTTTTTATAAAATCAAGTTTTTCCACTTAAAGTAACTGATATTTTATTTATATTGCTATACCTTTAAAATGATGACAACAGCAATAAAAAGGAAACTGCATGGAGATAGTGACATTTTAAGTAAAGAGAGCTTGGACACCCTTTCTCCTCTAGCTGGCCCTCCAGCCTCCTATAGCAGACCACAGATTCCTTCCTTGAGAAAGTCTCAAGACTAAAATCATACTAACAGAAAAGACCTTATTTTTACCTTCCTGAGTCTTCTAAGTCAGAATCCTGGGATAAATTCAGCCAAACGGTTGGAAATACACTATATCTCCTCACAGGGTGACCAGCCATCCTAGTTTGCCTGGGACTGAGGGGGTTTCCTGGACTTCCAGGGCTAACCATGAGGCAAACTGGTCACCCTGTCTCCTTAGCTCACACTATCTCTTTTTTGAGGAAGCACATGACCTAAATCCAAGATCTCCCAACTATATAATCATTAGAAATATTTTAATTTGAACAAGCAGCCCTTAACTCAGAAGAAAAAGAAAGTAGATAGGAATCTTATGCAGCAATGGATCCTTGACGGATGTCTTTCTGATATAAACTAAGGGAAGAACCTATACTTGCCAGTAAAATTTCTTAGAAACAGACAGAATCCCTTCCAACCAAACTACTTCTACTATAAATATCAACTAATGGATTTAGAATCCATTGAGGCATGGTTTTATTAGGATTTCTTCAGTTTAGATTTTCTTCCCAATTCAATCTCCCATTGCAAGAACTGAGGAGAAGATGATCAGGGCTGGGATTATTTCCCAGAGTGTTCTGGGGAAGAGAAGTTTCCCCTTGAGCAAAGGACAGCTTTCCGCCTGTCAACAGTGTAGCTCCACTGGAAGTCTTAGGGCCTCTCTGCCTAAACCTTGTCTCAGAACTGCTGTAAAAGTGTGCTTCCCAGCCCTCTAACACCCCTTCACAAGGAGCAGGGCCACCTGCAGGAATGACTCCTAGTCCTTGCAGAGCAAGTTTGTCACAAAGAATGTTTAGGATTAAATTAGGTTTTGACCATCTCAAAGGACAAATAAATGATTTCCTAAACAGGTAAGCACTTAAAAAAGCTTTCTGGGCATAAAACCCATTATGAATTTAGTGCTTTCCTTTTTATAACAGGCAGAAAGCCTTTGCCCTTCAGGGCAGGACAGGGAATGAAAAGTTCTCAGTTTGTTTCAAAGTTGGCTGCTGTCCCTACATACTCCCGGGCTTGCTGATGCCCGTTCTGTGTCTAGGTGTCAACACCTGAAATCAGCCTTTGTCATGATGACATATTCCACAGGGACTTCTTTGGCAGCAAATGAACAGTGAAAGAGCACGAAATAGACCGTGTAATTTCACTTTTAAGTGCACTGAACACAGGAATGCAACAGTGTAAGGCATGACGAAATGCTTCACTTGGGTGAAGTCAGATAGGCTCTCCACTTAACCAGGACACCAGAAGGAACCCAGAGATCAAAGCCAAATCACTTTTGATATCTGGACCCTTTAACGTCACCACTATGAAGGTATCAGTCACAGGGACTGAAGAAAAGAGGTGGGAGGTGTCCTCAAAAAGTATTCACATCTTTTTCTTGCTATTACTTCATGATCGAAGGGCGGCAAGAATGAGGAACTGGGTAGTCTCTGAGGTAAAGGGCCTGAAAAATTTGCCAATGACTAATGTGCTGTTTGATCCATTTGAAAGAATTCAAGTCAGCATGGCATCATCTGGTTTTTACACAGACCACAGGGCAACGACATGGAGGCCCCTGGGTTTTGCGGACTTTCCAAGATACTGACTAAAAGAAGAAGACTGAAGTGTGGGGACACGCACAAAAAATACTATTTTCAGGTTATATAGCAAATGAAGACAATGGAATTCTACCTGAGGGGAGGGAACACTTCATAAAATGCACAATGACCAACAGCTATTTGCAACTGACTCAGAAATTCATTTGTTCTATGGAGAATCTGATTATCTTTACCCAGCCTCCCTTTTACTTCTTTGTGGAGTGGTTCTCTTGAAAATTAAGTTTATAGAAAGCAAGTGTATCTGCCAGAAAGAGTTCTGAACATAGCAGGCTTTTAATAAATACTAATGGTGTAAACACAAGTTAAGCTTTCACTTAGAGCCAAGGAGATAACTTGAGCAATCAGCTACCTAGGGACACTGTAAGAGCGTATACTTGATGGGCAGACTAGCCAGCTTTGAAGGCAGTTCCACTATTTACTAGCTCTGCGACCTGGGGCAGTGTTCAGCTCCTCATCTGTAAAATGGGAATAATCATAGGACCTTGCAGGTTCGTTGTGAGCGTTAAGCACTTTAATGCGTGCAAAGTCTTTAGACCACTGCCCAGGACACAAGAGCTAACTATTCTCTTATTACTGTAATGTGTTCCTTTACCTAGAGATCTTTAAATATCACAACTGTCCCGAGGTGATATTTTAAAAATCCTGTCTAAGGGCAGGTGGCTGGAATAAATGACCAATTCCGGCCACTTTCATTCCTAGGGTCAGTCCTTTTTTTCCCACAGTGTCATATTTTATCGGTCTTTATTGATCTTTTGGTAATAATTATGTTGTTATAGTAATGGCTATCATTCCTGGAGTGCTCAGGATTTCCTGGCTTCCTTGATGAAATCAAGCCTTTCAGCTGGGAGCTTTATGACTCAATGCCTGCTGATGGCCACAGGCTAGATCTGCTTTTCGAGTAAGAAATAGAAACCTAGGGTCCAGATAATACCAAACTTAGTCAAATCACCTCCTTTTATTTAAAGCAACTTTGTCATGCTCTGGCAAAGTACATACTGGTTCCTTAAAGGTGATTACAAGAAGTAGTCTAGAATGTTCTAAGAATCAGACTTTGACATATCCAGCTTACTTGCTGAGTTAATTTGGACAAATCACTTTGGCAGAATATACAGTCAACATGAATGTGAGACATTACACATGAAGTAGTTCTTGTCTGCTTAGTTTTTCTCATGAAGTGACGGTAATAGTGATACTTGAAGAAGAGAAGGAGGGAAAAATCCACAATTTTCAAACAGAAATCTACCCTGACTTTGTGTATATTGTGTATCTAACTTTGTCCCCTACTGCTAAAGCAGCAGAGCAATGTGGTGAAAGCTAAGAGCTCTGAAGTCAGGCTACTGGGCTCAAATCCCTCTCTGGTCACTTACTAGCTGGGTCAGCAGGGAAAGATGGTTAACATGCCTGGAATCAGTTTCTCCATCTTTAAAATGAAAGTGAGAATACACTTAATTTCATAAGGATTGTTTCTAAGGACTGTTTTTCAAGTTAAGTGCCTGGCACCTACCTAACAGGATTAGCAATGGCAAATATAAACCTTCTCTCCTACCCAGGCTATTACCTCACTGGTAACCACAATGTATCCATTTATTCCCTGAGCATTTACGAAGCACCTTCTATGCTCCAGGCGCTTCAGTAGATCAGGGAGTGAAGGGATACATAGCTGAGTGTGAAACAGACGTAACTCTTGTTCTTATGGGAATTAAAGAGTGGAACTGATACTAACCAAACGTCTCACCAATAAACGTCAATGCTAACTATGAGGCACTTACAAAGGACATATAAAAATAGGGATCTGACCTGGTGGGGAAGTCACAGAAAGCTACATAAGGGAGTTATGAAGAGTAAGAATATAACACAGGACGGGGTGGGTAGGAGGTGGGGGTTGGGAAGAGCACTCCTGACAGGGAGAAGAGCGTGTACCAGGCTCTGCGGTGGGAGTCCTGCTCAGTATCTCCTCAGCCACACTGGTCACCACCTCTCAGGGTTTCCTTCAGGTGTTCCTACCACCTGGGGGCATCCTTTCCTCCTCATCTCCATCTAGAACCACCCGTTCTTCAAGGGTATGACCTAAATCTGAATCTTCCACACCACTCTCCTCACCACTCTAGCCCACAGAACTCCACTACTGTCTTTTTTGGAGGGAATCTGATAGGAATGGGGCAGGAAAATTATATGCAGTCTATTGCAAGGGTTGTGGTCTTAACCTCTCTTGCTTGTTAAATTCCCAGAATGCATCCATTTATACTTTCTCACTTTCTGCTTTTGTGGAAGGGAAGGGACCATGTTAACTCAGTCTATCTTCACATCAGCCCTGTGGAGTCAGTAGTGCTACCCCATTCCACAGCCAAGGGAGCTGGGGTACATTAGGATGAAGTAAACTGTCATCATTCCTGTAATTGGAGTGATTGGGCAGTTCTTGGAACCTGCAGTCTGTCCACCTCCAAAGTCCATTTCA